CAGCATCATCGTCATCAGCATCAGCATCAGCATCAGCATCAGAATCATCATCACCATCACCATCATCAGCAGCAGCATCGCCATCGTGCAGTTGAGGCAGGTCGAGCATTGCCCCGACGCCGAGGCCACTCCTTTGCAGTCGGCGAGCGCAGGGTGGCGGAACGGTGCAGGCACTGCCCCGTTTGCTCTCGGGCACGTCAGAACATCATTATCACAACCATCACACGTATCATCAACACCACGACCATCGTCATCATCATCATGATCATCACCAGCAGCATCATCATCATCAGCATCAGCATGATCATCAGCATCATCAGCATCATCATGGTTGTCAGCAGCAGCAGCATCACCATCATCAGCAGCATAATCGTCAGCAGCAACATCACCATCATCCTTATCATCATTAGCATCAGCATCATCAGAATCCTCAGCATCATCATAAGAATCATCAGAATCAGCATCAGCATCACCATCTTGTCATCGTTGTCAGCAGCAGCAGCATCGTAATCAGCATGGTCATCATCATCATCATCATCATCATCATCATCATCATCATCAGCAGCAGCAGCGTCATCGCCATCATCATCATCATCAGCATCATCATCATCATCAGCATCATCATCACACCGTCATAGTCATCATCAGCATCATCATCATCATCATCATCATCATCATCATCGTCATCATCATCAGCATCATCAGCATCATCATCATCACAATCACCATCATCATCAGCATCATCATCACATCATCATCACATCATCATCATCGTCATCATCATCATCAGCATCATCATCGTCATCATCACATCATCATCACCGCGACAACCAGGCGATGCCATGGCGCCATGGCCATCGCCGTGCTGCGTCGCTGCCGACCAGCTTGCACAGCGCAGCAGCGAAAGCGGACAGAACGAGCTAGAAGGACAGAAAGCCAAGGATAATGTTAGAGAGCTTGCTGGAGATAGACGAAGCCAGAGGGGGACAGAGGGAAAGGGAGAGACGGTGGGAGGGAGGGAGGAAGGGAGGAAAGGTACAGACATAGAGACCGAGAGAGGGTGCTATACATATATATATATGTATATATATATACCTGTGTATGTAGATGTGTGTAGAGAGACACATACACACATTGAACTACATCGAAAGAGAAACAAAGGAGTGAAAGCATGACAGAGACAGCGGCAAAGACAGCAAAGAAAGGGAGGCATACAACACGGCAGATGCGGGGGAAGAGAGACGGAGAGAGAAAAAGAGAGAGGGGAAAGGGACACAGAGACAGAGGCAGAGAGAGGGGGGAGGGCAGGGGCGGGCTGCGTCTGGACCCACCGAGGCGCCGCGTCCTCGGCGTGGTCCAGCTGCTTGAAGAACACCTCCTTGTTGCGGGCCTGGTCCCTGCTCAGGAGGACCTTGCTCTTGGAGCGCTCGAGCTGCGTCCTTTGGAGGAACAGCAGCCTAACCGTTAGCGTGTGAACGTTCGGAGATCGGGGAGGACTTCTTGGGTCGGCGCTGGACCCCCTTCCCCTGGCGCGCGAGGCGCGCCAGGAGCGGCGCCAGCGGCGCCGCCAAGGAGGGGTGTCTGGAGCCGGCCCTAGAATATCCGCCGCGACCTCCGAGGGTTTCTGTTCGTGTCGCGTTTGCTCCCTCGAAGACCTGGCGAGTATCGACTGCTGTCGCCTGGTGATCCTCGCCCCAGCCTGGGTCGCCCTCCCCCCCACAACAGTCGGCCTCCACGCGGTCGACCTCGCTGTCGACCTCGGCGCGGAGGGGAGTGGGACATCCTGCTTCTGCCACCCTGCCTCCTCCCTCCTCCTCGTCCTCGTCTCCCCCACCTCCTCGTCCGTCCCACCTCGTCCTCCCTCCCCCCCTCCCTGATGCCCTCCTCCTCCTGGCCGGGAGGGGAAGGGCACGGGGAGCTTTGGCAAGTGGCGATGCCCGCTGCATGCCTTGCTCGGAACCTCCTCAGCCACGCCTGAGCACGATCCATCCATTGAAACGCAGTGGAGCTTGGCGGAATGCCTTAACTACGTCATAGCGCCACCCTTTCGAATCAGGGACACCCGGAGCTCGCCGGCGTCGTAGCAGCCAGAACCTTCCGCTCGCTGCTCAAGAAATACCCAGGCGATCTACGCGAAGTCGCAACGTGCCCAGATCTCTCTCGCCCTTCAGTGTCCTACTTGCGTCCTTGGCACGGCCGAGGCAGCGCCTACGCAACCCTAGGCAAAAAGCCTGAGCGGCGTAACGCGGCGTCTGGGAAGCGCCAGGCGGCGTCTTGTGCGCGACCGGGCAGCGCCGGGCAGCGGCCTGACAGCGGCCTACGGACGGGAACTTTGGCGCGTCGCGGCGGCGGCCCCGGCAACACGCTCTGCCTTGCGAGCGGATAGCGTGTCGCTCCGCTCCGCTCCGCTCCGCGGTGTGTGTTTTTTTGTTGTTTTTTTGTTTTCGCTTTTTTGTGTTTTTTTTGTTTTTTGTTGTGTGTTTTTTGTTGACGTTTTTCCCCCACACACACACAGGCTGGGACAGGCTCGGGACATTGACGATTCGAATCGAGACGTGGCGTGGCGGCGTGTCGTGCCGAGGCGTGGTTGGCCAGAGCAGGCGCCGCGGCACGGCGAGAAAAGGGGGTCCCGACCGTGGGCGCTCGGGAAGCGCTCGAGCAGCACCCAGACCGCGTCCAGGCAGCGGCAGAGTTCGGGCAGCGCCTGGGCACGGCAACTCACGGCGCTGGCGCGGTCCACACGTGTGCAACCCGTCAGGTACAGAAAGGTTCGCGCAGGTCCAACTATATTCGGCGAAAATGCTGCGCAGGTCTACGTCAGCGTCGACAGCCACTTCGAGATCAGATAGCGTTTCCACGAAGGCTTGGACTGGTACATCCACGTCTGCACCTGTAGCGACACTTCGACGGCCCCTTCAAGAAGTATCGCACCATATCAGCGCATGCTTCTGCGGCTTCGACTTCATCAAGGGGCGCGTCAAGCTTAGCTTCAAACTCAATGGAAGCTTCAAGTTCGAGTTCATTCTAGAGCCCCTCGTCGACGACTTCGAGCTCGGAATCACGAAAGATAGCGACGAGGACGACGACCTAAACGACCTTGACGGCGACGACGAGCACCTGGCGAACCTCAGCCTCAGGGCGGATCTTGCAAAGTTTAGGGGGCGCGCTCCAGAAGCTGCACTTTGGGGGCGGCCCGCCCTGCTTCCAGGCGCAGTCACCCGCAGGGCCCCACGCCCGCGACCACCGGGAGGTCATCCGACGCGGGATGGGTGACACTGTCTCCAACTACTTGGAGATCATCCAAGACGAGTGGGGCCAGTGACAAGCCCCGCGACGGTGCCATCCACCACGTGAAGTTCGACAGCCTGGGCTCCGCTGCGACGACAGAGTTGGGATGCTGTGCCTCAGGACTGAGGAGACAGTGGAGTGCGACCAGTGTGGTTATGTTTGGGGTGGTCTTCAACTGGTGGGGCTCTGACGTGCGACGACTACCAGCAAGCAGCCTTTGCGGTGCACATGGCGTCCACGTGAAAATGGCCCACAAGATTCCGCGGCCCTTGACATATCTCTCTATTTCTCCACATCCTCCTCATCCACACTTACTCAATATGAATACTCCTCTCCCTCTTCCCCTGATGACGGCTTGAAAGTGTTAGCCCCCCCCCCGCGTCCTGTTTTTTTACACACAGAATTCCCCGGAGTTGGGTTTTCGCCTGCATTTGTTTCCAAAATGCTGCTCTCGCTGAGGCGCCGGCCTCATTTTCGGGCCCCGCTCGTTCCGAATCGTGCTCCCGCTGCAGCGCTGGCCTCATTTCCGTGCTTCCGCTCGTTCCGAATCGTGCTCCCGCTGCAGCGCTGGCCTCATTTCCGCGCTTCCGCTCGTTCCGTGCTCCCGCTGCAGCGCTGGCGTCATTTCCCGTGCCATGCCACGGCATGCAATGCAATGCTAGGTTGATACTACGCTTTGCGGTGCTCTTCTACGCCATGCCATGCCGTGCTCTACAATGCATCGCGTACCCTTTCGGGATCATTGCCCTGCTCGACATCCGACTGTGCGAGTAGAGAGGGGATCTACGCCATGGTAAGGGATGGGAGGGAGGGGTAGGATGTCAGATACGACGCGAGCGCACCTAGCTTGTCCTCCTCCCCCTCCTCCTCCTCCCTCCTCTTCCTCCTCCTCCTCCTCCTCCGCCTCCTCCTCCTCCTCCTCCTCCTCCTCTGCTCTGCTGCTGCTGCTGCTGCTGCTGCTGCTGCTGCTGCTGCTGCTGCTGCTGCTGCTGCTGCTGCTGCTGCTGCTGCTGCTGCTGCTGCTGCTGCTGCTGCTGCTGCTGCTGCTACGGCTACTGCTGCAGTCACGACAGGCACGCACGAGGGGGAGGCTGCCGAGTGACAGCCAGCCGTCCGTCCGAAAACATAGTGGAGGGGAAGATGAAAAAGGCGGAGGAGGAAGAGGAGGAGGAGGAGGAGGAGGAGGAGGAGGAGGAGGAGGAGGAGGAGGAGGAGGAGAGAGAGAGAGAGGAGGAGGAGAGAGAGAGAGAGAGAGAGAGAGAGAATGAAGAGGAGGAAGAGGCTGAGGAAGTGGAGGAGTAGGAGGAGTAGGAAGTGGAAGTAGGAGGAGTAGGAGAAGTAGGAGTAGGAGTAGAAGTAGGAGTAGGGGTAGGAGTAGGAGAAGGAGTAGGGGGAGGAGGAGGAGGAGGAGGAGGAGGAGGAGGAGGAGGAGGAGGAGGAGGAGGGCACTCAACAAAAGGGCGAGGCGGCGAAGGGAGACCATGAAGAGCAGACCTGGTGCTGCGCCCAGCGGAGGTCGCCCTGGTGGCGCGCCCCTTCGCGAGGAAGGCCGCGAGCCTCTTGGCGGGCGCGAAAGCCAGCGGGTTGTTCTCGTCCTGGAGGTCCGCCATCATCTGCTCGTGGGCGCCACCGTCTGCCCCGCCGCGCCCCGGGCGAAGCTCCGCGCTGCGCTCGCCGCCGCCGCCGGCGACGACGAGGACGACGGCTGCGACGACGACGACGACGACGACGACGACGACGAAGACGACGACGACGACGACGGCGGCGACAGCGACGGCGACAGCGACGGCGACGGCGACGGAGGCGACGGCGACGGCGACGACGGTGACGGCGACGACGACGACGGCGACGGCGGCGGCGGTGATGATGAGGCCAGCGATGGCAACAGCGAGAACGTCGACGACGGAGGCGACGGCGGAGAGAATGTCCTGCGGAACTTCGCCCGTGGGTCGGGAACCTCCCGCCCTCCCGCCCTCTCTGCATCCCCTCATGCATCCCTCCCTCACTTCCGCGCCTCCACCCTGACCCCTTACCCCGTCACCCCCGCCGTTTCCCGCGCGTGCGTTTCACTGCTCGTCAGAATGAGGGGGCCGAACGGTCATTCACTGTCCCTGGGCGCGTGGCTGAAGTGAGGTTCTGCGGTGAGGAGTGCGGTTTGTTGTTCTTGTTGCTGCTGTTTTTGTTGTTGTTGCTGCTGCTGTGGGTGTTGTTGCTGCTGCTGTTGCTGCTGTTGGTGGTGAAAGTGTCGCTCTTGTTGCTGAATACTCGCTTCTAACGAATAATTGCTGTTAATCCTCCCTGCCTTGTAACCGCTGCATGTTTCAATTAAAGTGCTTCTCCTGGGGCTCGCATCCTGTTTTTTTAACAAAGGGAAAAGAAGGTGTCACCAAAGTGGGTTGTTGGGCCCCGAACTACAAGAACAACAACAGCAGCAACAATCAGTTTAAGACTGTTCGCTCGTACTGGCACGCGTGTTCTGCATTCCGTATACCCGAACCCTCGATACCCGCCCACTTCGTCTTCGATCGCACCCCCTTTCGTGGGAAACGTCTTCCTTGCAGGCCACTGACTGAAGTGCGAGGAACTCTCGAGCGAGGGCGCCGTTCCTGAGTTCGGGGGCCTCTCTAGCCAGGCCAGGAGCTCTCGGAATACATCTTGAGAAACATCGAACGGGGACCCTTGTCGCCGTGTCTGGGCCTCCACCAACTTGCCTGAAGTATGAAAAACTCGAGCGAGAGCGCCACTCTTGAGCTCGGGGGCGGGCCTCTCTGACAAGGGCCTCTACGACGACATCTTGAGGAAGTATCGAACGAGAGCCCTGGTCGTCGTAGTTGGGTCTCCATCAATTTGACTGAATCGCGAGAAAGGGTCGAGCGAGAGCGCCGTTCCTGAGTTCGGGGGCCTTCCTGGCCAGGGGCTCTCGGAGTAAATCGTGAGGAAGTATCGAGCAGGGCCCCTTGTCGTCGTGGCTGGGTCAACTCGACGAAACTGCGAGGAAATCTCGAGCGAGAGCGCCGTTCCTGAGTTCGGGGGCCTCTCTGGCCAGGGTGTCTCGGAGTAAATTGTGAGGAAGTATCGAGAGGGAGCCGTTGTCGTCCTAGCCGGGCCTCCAAGGGTACACCTTTACACTCAACCCACCGCTCGAGCGGAAGCCTTGTTTTCAGAAAAAAACTAGCCGGAATCGAGGCGAGAGCGCGCGGAACCGTTTGAGGAGATCGACACTAAGTACTCTAAAAATGAATATTCTACAACCACAACAACAACAGCAGCAGCAGCAACAACAAGCATTTTAAAACTGTTCGCTCCTGTCTGCCCACGTGTCAATCAATACGTATATCCGAAGCCCTCGATACCCGCCCTCTTCGTCTTCGATCGTACCCCCCTTGGGGGTATATCTTTCTTACCTGCCACGAGCATTTAGTGCAGCCTCTAAAGCAAGGGAGGAGAAGACAGGTGGAAGGGGGAGGGAGAAGAATGGAGCACGGGAAAAATTAACAGGAGGGGGGCAAGGAGCAGAAAACAAGTGGTAGAACCAGACGGGCAGATCGGGTGGGCAGAACCCATCGCGGGCAGGTCGGGAAAGCGGGCCCAGGCGACCAGGTTGAGCAGGCGGGTTGCTGAAGCGTGGGTCCAGCATGAATCGCAAAGGGAGTCTCGAGCGATAGCGCGATTCCCAAGTAAATCACAAGAAAAGCCAAAGCGAGAGCGTGATTCCTGAGCGCCGAGGGCGCATCGTCTGAATAAATTGCGAGTATGAGGAAGTCCTGCGCGAGAGCGCGGTGCGGGAATAAATTGTGAAGAATTATCAGGCGGGAGCCGCTGTTGTTGTAAACCCGCTGCCAGGGGCACAGTTTGAGACTGGTGACGTTCCCGGCTAAAAAAACAGGGTGCGAGCCCCGGGGGGAGCACTTCGGATGAAAAATACAATGGTCACTGGAGGGGGGGGTCAACAATATTCATTCTTCAGTAATGAGAGCTCAACAACATCAACAACAACAACAGCATCATCATAATCAACACTATCATCATCAGCATCATCATCAGCATCATCATCAGCATCATCATCAAGATCAGCAGTAACACAAACAAAACCAAAAACAACAACAACAACAACAACAACAACAACAACAACAATAACAACAACAACAACAACAACAACAACAACAACAACAACAACAACAACAACAACAACAACTACAAGAACAATAACAACAACAACAAAGGCTCCCGCCAGATACTTCCTCACAAATTATTCCCAATTCGCGCTCTCACGCGGGACATCCTCACAATGTATACAGGAATCGCGCTCTCGCATGGGATTTCCTCGCAATGTATTGAGATGCCGCGCCCGCGACACTCAGGAATCACGCTCTCGCTGTAGCTTTCCTGACGATGTATCTGGGATTGGGAATCGCGCTATCGCTCGAGACTTCCTCGCGATTCATGCAGGACGCACTCTTCAGCAACCCGCCCGCCCCTTGTCCCTTCCTTCCATCCGTCCTCCTCTTCCCCGGCCTCAGGGACTGCACGAAATACACGTTGCAGGTAAGAAAGCTATACCCCTAAGGGGGTACGATCGAAGACGACGAGGACGGGTATCGAGGGTTTGGGATAGACGTGGCACGCTAGCAGATAAGAGCAAACCATCTTAAAACGGTTGTTGTTGGTGGAGTTGATATGGTGGGTGGTGGTCTTGTTGGTTGGTGCTGTTTTTGATGTTGTTGTTGTTGGTGTTGTTGCTGTGTGTTGTTGTCGTCGTCCTTACCGACCCAGCCCGCAACCCACCTGCGACCCACCCGCGACCCACCCGCGACCTACCCGCGACCCACCTGCGACCCACCCCGCGACCGACCCGCGACTCACCCGCGACCCACCCCGCAACCAGCCCGCGACCCACACGCGACCCACCCGCGACCCACCCGCGACCCACCCGCGACCCACATGCGACCCACCCGCGACCCACCCGCGACCCACCCCGCGACCCACCCCGCATTGCTTTAACGAAAAAATCAGCGCCTGCGGCGGGCTCGCTGCATAATTTGGAAGAGTTCGGCGCCTGCGGCGGGCTTTACCAGAGCCTCGCAGATATCCGAAGTCCTCGCCGCCCCCTCACTCTGGTCCGCAACTGCGGAGTGATGCGGTTGTTTCTCTGCGGCGCTCGCTCTGTCGTGAAGTTCCTCTGCGGGGCGCGGAGCGTCACATACCTGCAGGGTGGCTGCTGCACGCTCGGACAGAAATACCCAGGGACGTACCCAACCCACCCGAGACGTCTGGCAGCACCATCTGGTGAGGCGGCCTAGGAGACCACTCCGTGAGACCTCCCAGGGGCTCCCGAAAATGGCAATAGTTGCGCGGCTGCCAGCGCCGAGATGGACCTCCCAGGAGTTCAAGAACGTTGCGACAGTTGCGCAGCTGCCAGCGCCCAAAGAGGGCGAGGCTCATTTGGATCCACGTGCGGGGTCGCTCCGCTCGAACTCCCAGGGGCTCACCAAAGTGGCGGCATCTGCGCAGGTGGCAGCTGAGCAGGGAGCCGCGAGGTCTAATCTGGATGAGTAAGACACGACTCCGCTCGACCTGCCAGGAGCCCACAGAAAGGGGCGACGGTTGCGCAGGTGGCAACCCCCAAAGAAACGCGAAGCCCAGACTGGATGCGCGAAGGACACCACACCCCTAGACCTCCCAGGGGCCTACGAAAAAGGCGAAAGAAAGTGTCGCACGTGACAGCCCAGCAGGGGGCCGTGAGGTAAGACACCACTCCGCTCGACCTCCCAGGAGCCCACGAACGTGGCGATAATTGCGCACGTGGTAGCCCCGCAGGGAGCCGTAAGGTAACACACACCACTCCACTCAACCTCCCAGGAGCCCACGGAAAGGGCGACGGTTGCGCGGTGGTAGCCCACCAACACTGTAAAGATTGGCGTTGGAGTCCAATCCGCTCGACCTCCCAAGGGCCCACGAAAGCAGCGACAGTGGCGAAGGTGGCGGACCCCACGGAGCCGCGAGATCTACTCTGGATGTGATTAGGACACCGCTCCGCTCGACCTCCCAGGGGCTCACGAAAGTGGCGACAGTTGCGCAGGTGGCAGCCCGAGAGGAGCAGAAAGGTGTAGTCTGGAGGTGCGCAAGACATCACTCCGCTCGACCTCCCAGGAACTCGCGAAAGTTCTCACAAGTTATCACAGTTGCACAGGTGGCAACCCCCTTGGGGGAGCCGCGAGGCATACAGCCGGACCTAGAGGACAGAAGAGCATCCTTCAAGAACATGAGACCCTCCGCCGGCCCAAACTGAAGAACATTCGAGGGTACCCTCACCCAGGATGCACAAGAACACCCAACAAGCACGAAGAACACGAGGGTACCGTCCACGAACCGGCCTCCATCTTATACTTCGGTCCGACCGTAGTCTGGATGTGCGTATGACACCATTCCACTCGACCTCAAAGGGGACCGCGAAAGCGGCGACAGTTGCGCACGTGGCAGCCCCGCAAGGAGCCGTGAGGTCTAGTTTAAATGCGCAAAGGACACCACTCCGCTGGACCGACCTCCGAGGAGCCCAACAAACCGGCGAAAGTTTCGCAGGTGGCAGCCCCCCAGTGGGGAGCTGCTGGTGCGCAGCCTCCTCCGGACTCTGCCCTCTGGGGCCCAAGCTGGCCCTCTGGGCACGCGAGCAGCGCCACGCTCCAAGGTATGGAGTGAGCGCGAGCCCGCCCCCGAGACAAACGGCACTTTTTCCGTCGGCAGCGAGGCAGAGGCAGTCCGCTCCAGCGTGTGGCTAATCGGGGCAACCGAAAGGCGCCTTGTCTGGCGTGCAAGAGGAAGGAAAGAAGACGAGCCAGACAAACGGCACACGCTCAGCAGCAACGCGGGGGTCCGGCATCCCATCTGGCAGGAGAGCGCTCCCCCCACCCAGAGCCCGAGGTGGTCACCCGAGCCTTGGAGCTCGATCGGAGTCGGCGGCGGATTCGAAGCCAATGCGCTGTCAAAGATGCGGCCCCGAGGGGTGGGGCCCTCAGTCGGCCCGTCTAGTAAGAGTGCGCAGTGAGGATACACGGGCCTTGGACGCCCATGCCGAGGCTCGTCGAGCGGGCTGGCCATCGGAAGTGGTTGGGGGCGGACCGAAGATGATCGAATAGGCAAGGATGAAAGGGTACCTTTGGGAAGTCGATCATCCTTACTATCAGGGCTGACTGTAAGGACGAGAGTCTCAAAGACTGGAGGGTCCTCCTCCTCCTCCTCCTCCTCCTCATCATCATCATCATCATCATCATCATCATCATCATCATCATCATCATCATCATCATCATCATTCATCATCATCATCATCATCATCATCATCATCATCATCATCATCATCATCATCATCATCATCATCATCATCATCATCATCATCATCATCATCATTAGCATCATCATCATCATCATCATCATCATCATCAGCATCATCAGCATCAGCATCATCAGCATCAGCATCAGCATCATCATCATCATCATCATCAGCATCATCATCATCAGCATCATCATCAACATCATCATCATCATCATCATCATCATCATCCCTCCTCCTCCTCCTCCTCCTCCTCCTCCTCCTCCTCCTCCTCCTCTTTTGGTTTTTTCCTCTATCCCTGGGGCCCCCATCCAGCGAGGCCCCCTCTCCGGACCGACGAGCCGGGGCACGCTTCCACCCTCCGTGGTCGGTGGCCAAGGCCCCGAACGCTCGCGCGGGCGGCGGTGGCGGCCAGGAGAACGAGGAGGAGGAGCAGGAGGAGGAGGAGGAGGAGGAGGAGGAGGGGAAGGAGGGGGAGGAGGAGGAGGAGGAGGAGGAGGAGGAGGAGGAGGAGGAGGAGGAGGAAGAGGAGAACGAGGAGGAGGAGGAGGAGGAGGAGGAGGAGGAGGAGCGACCACCGATCGAACTTCCGAATGCGTGAGGCCAATTGGTTTGCCAGTTCAGACTGAACTGTTCAGTGATCGTCCTGTTGTACATCTACCTCATCAGCTGGGGTATCATACTTTGACGTGTCTCCGAGTGGGAGGGAGCAGGCGGCATGCAGAAGGGAACACCCGAAGCGCACGCTCCTACCGGAGATCCGCGCGCCTTCGCCTCGGTCGGTCTTGCGGGCGAGCACGAGAGACTTCTGCGCCTTCATCCGTCGCTTCTTCACGAAGACGGACATGTTCCTGGCGCGGAAGCGACGGAAAAGATGGGAGCCATGGTGGCCCCAGGCTGGGGGCCATGGGGGAGCCGCTGCGAGTGAGTCCCGGAGGGGCCCAGGCCCTTGTCGAGGAGGGACAAGAGAAGGAGGGCAAGGAGGAGAGAGAGAGAGAGGGGAGGAAGAGAGGAGGAGGGAGAGAGGAGAAAGAGGAGGGGGGAGCAGCAGCGTTGCCAACATTCAGGAGCAGGAGACAAGGAAAAGATGAAGAGGCAACAGAGGAGGATCCGAGTGAACCCAGGATGCATCAACAAGGCTACAGTATACATCCTCCTGTCCCGCCTTCCCTCCTCAGAAGTCTCTACAAGCATCCCCGACCACGAGGAAGCATACGAGGACGAGCACCCCATGAGCTGGCCATTCAGGCGAGAGCCCTGTTTTGGAAAGGCAATGCCCTGCATCCTTCTGCCGATGATGAATGCGAAGAGGCAAGATCCAAACCTCCAAAGAGGCTCCAAGCGACACAAACGTTTCGAAAAGGAGCCGCCCTCCACCCATGTGACTGCTGCACGAGCTTACGCGTATGGCACTCATTCGTGGGGGAGAGGCTGACGTAAGAGCCCCCTGTTGACAAAGGACCGCCCTCGATCCGTGCAACTGCTGCCGCGTGTCACCCCACGTGTGCCGGAAGCCTCGGGCGCGGGCCCCACTTCGAGAGGAACCGCCCTCCACCGCTGGAGCTGCTGGACGTGCTCAAAAAAATTCCGCGAGGCGCCCCGGCGAGAACCGCGTGTTCAAGAGGAGAGGCCCTCCGTCCGCGAGCGGCGCGGCGCTGGAGCTGCTGGACGTGCACAAACAAAAGCGCGAGGCGCCCAGGCGAGAGCCACGCGTTCACAAGGGGAGGCCCTCCGCCCGCGAACGGCGCGGCGCTGGAGCGAGGGCCACGCTCTGAGAAACGGACGGCCCTCCGTCCCGGCCGGCGGCTGCCGGGCATGGTCGAGGCGAGTGCGCGCGACGCCCTTGCCGGAGTAGAGCTCGAAAGCGACCCGCCTTCTCCCGCTCCTCCTCCTCCTCCTCCTCCTCCTCACTCCTCCTCCTCACTCCTCCTCCTCACTCCTCCTCCTCCTCACTCCTCCTCCTCCTCCTCACTCCTCCTCCTCCTCCCCTCCTCCTCCTCCTCCTCCTCCTCCTCCTCCTCCTCCTCCTCCCCTCCTCCTCCTCTTTGGAGACGGGTGCGCGCGGCTCGGATGCCAGAGCCCCCTCTGGGAGAGGGGCCGCTCCTTCTGCAGCTGCTGGAAACGTTGAAGCGAGTGTGCGCGCGCTCCGGCGCTCCGGTGAAACGCGCCACATCCCCGCAGCATCTGACAGCATTCGACGCAAACGTGCGGGGCGCTGAAAGCGAGAGCTGCATTCGGCTGAAAACGAGCGGCCTTCCATCCTTGGGACGGATGTCAGTGTTAAGACGGGTGCGCGAGGTGCCTCGGCGAGAACCAAATTCGAAAGCAGTTTGCCATCCTCCCGCGATTGTTCGAATATCCGAGAGCGAATCTGTGCGGCGCTGAGGCGACAGCAATTCATCCATGCACTTGTTGGACGCAAGGAACCCAGGGAGCCCGATCCACCGTCGCGGGCCTCGAAAAGTTCGATACGGGGGGGGTCAGAACCAGGGGCCCCCTTTCCTTGTGGATGCCATGACAATGGGTACCCTAACAATCCTACCATTGAAAGCATGTGTTCAAAATGTTTGACACATGTTCCGAACATGTTTGAAACATGTTGTTCACCTATCAGAGCTTGCCTCTCAGAGTCCTAACGGATTCATATGGTTAGGCGAGACGTGCCACCCATGTCCCCGGCCCGTCTGGATGCCCGGGTGCCTTATAGCCCTATAGATCTACATCCATATAGCCCTATAGCCCTATATCTTGGTAGCCATAACACCCCATTGCCCAGTAGCCCCATAGCCCTATAGCACAATAGCCCTATAGCCCTGTAGCCTATAGCCTTATAGCCTTATAGCCCTATCGCCCTATCGCCCTAGAGCCCTATAACTCTATAGCCCTATAGCTCTACAGCCCTATAGCCCTACAGCCCAAAATCCCTATAGCCCAATAGCCCTCTAGCCCAATAGCCCAATAGCCCAATAGCCCTATCGCCCTATAGCCCTGTAGCCCTATAGCCTAATAGCCCTATAGTTCTATAGCCATACCGCCCTATAGCCCTACAGCCCTATAGCCCTATAGCCCTATAGCCCTATATCACTATAGCCTTATAGCCCTATAGCCTTATAGCCTTAAAGCCCTATAGCCCTATAGCCTTATAACCCTATATCCCTATAGCTATATATATATATATGTATGTATATATATATGCACATATCCCTATAGCCCTATAGCCCCATTGCCCCACATCCTTATAGCCTTATAGCCCTGTAGCCCTATAGCCCTATAGCCCCATAGCCCTATAGACTCATAGCCCTACTACGGCCCTATAACCCTATAGCCCCATAGCCAGACCCCCATAGCCTCATAGCCCTATAGCCCTACAGCCCCTATAGCCCTATGGCCTTATAGCCCTGTAGCCCTATAGCCCTATAGACCTATATTCCGATGGCCCTGACAGAAGCTTTAATTGGGGCTTCTCTCCTGTATCGTTGAATGTGTTAGGCATGGTTTAACAACTTTGTTTGACATCTGGATACTATTTGGATACATGCTTGCGTGCTTCCTCTACACTGCTCGTCGTCCACAACCGCTTCCCCCTGACAACAAAAAATCGGAAGGGGGTGCCAGCAACCAGGGAGCCCCTCCCCCGAAACTCCACCCCCCCAAAACAGGGAGGTCCGGACGCCCCCCCCCGGGGAAAACTTCTCGGAGGGTCCAAGACCCTCCCCCGCGGTTCGGAAACTGAATCGCCCCCCCTCAGAACGACGACGACGACGACGACGCCGCCGACGACGACGACGACAGCGGCGGCGGCGGCACACCTGTCGCTGGGGCCAGCGCCAGGCGCCGGCTCTGTTAGAATGCTGCTGGGGTTCAATCTAGCTGTCTCAGAATCCCACGAGGGCTCGATCCGGCTGTAGTGGAATCCTTCCTGCTGTGCGTGGATCCAGTTCTCATAAAATCCCGTTCAGGGTTCAAGCAAGCTCAACAAGAGAGGTACAAAGGTTCGATCCAGCTTGAATGCAACCCTATAAGGGCTCGAGCCAACTCTTCCGGATCCAGCTCTAACGGGGTCCTACCAAAGCTAGATCCACCTTTGATACAGTCCTGCTGAGGTCGGGTCCAACCCCAGCAGGGTCCTACTAGGGCTCGGCTCAGCTCTGATCGGAGGCGAGGCCATGAGATCGCAGCGAAACGGAAAGTGACTACCTACCAGACCACCCCAACCCAACCCGAAGACCCGAATTTCGGGTTGGGGGGGGTAAGGGTTCCACGTGTGTTTTTTCTATGTTTCCCGACCCCCCCCCCAACTGGAAATCGAGGGTAAATCTGAGCCTTCGGGTTGGGTTGGGGTGGTTTGGTGGGTGGTGAGAAAGCCCCCCACCGGGAAATCTGCTTCGGTTTCGTGTGCGTGTCGCACGTGCGGGCGGAGCGAAGCTGCGTGAGCGGGCGGGGAGGCAAGAGCCCTCCTCCGGCTCGGGCGTCGCAGGGACGCAGAAGTCCGCCCCCCGGGTTGGCGGGCGGGTGCCACGGGTGTCCGACCGCGGTGCTCCGACGGTGTCCCGTGGTGGCCCGCGGTGTCACGCGATGGCCCGTGGTGTCCCGTGGCGCGGCGTCCCGTGGTGTCCCCTGGTGTTCCGCGAGGGTGATGATGAAATCGATAATGACACCCATGGTGATTTCGATGAGAATATCGGCAGTGCGATCGATAGCGAAATCGGTTGTGAGATCGATCGTGGTATCGACAGCGGGATCAGCTGTGACATGTATAACAAGGTCGACCGTGAGATCGCTAGGGAGTTGGACTGTGCGATCGATGATTACATCGATTGTGAGATCGAGAATGTGATGGATAGCGAGATCGATTATGACATCGACAGTAAGACCGACTGAGAAATCAATAGTGAGGTCGATCGAACGATACCAAAAGTGAGGTCGATAGTGAGATCCATAGTGGGATCGATAGCGATATCGACTGAGTGAAACGTTGGTTCCGCCCCTCCCCGAACCTCCATATCACCCGAAGGGAGATCGTCTATACGTAAAGAATCCCACAATGCTTGAAACCAGCTCTAATAGAACCTCACTAGGGGTCAATCCAGCTCGATTAGAATCCCACTTAGGCTGGATCTTGTCCCGTGGGAACTTTGATAGGACTGGACCCTGCTCTAAACGAATCCTACTGGGGCTCCATCCAGCTCTAACAACAATCAGCTGGGGTTCCATCCAGCTTTACTAACATCCTTCTACGGGTCGACCGAGCTCACTCAGATTCCTACTAGGGCTCGCTCCAGCTCTGGTAAAATCCTACTAGAGCGCGATCCAGCTCAAACAGAATCCCACTAGGGCTGGATCCAGCTCTAGAACCCTCGAAAGCTCGATCCAAATCGAATAGAATCCGAGTACGGCAGGGTCCAGCTGTAGTGGAGTCAGATCAGGACTGGATCCAGGAGTGATGATATTCTACTCACGCTCAGTACAGCATTAGCACAAAACCTGTATAGGGTTGGATCCAGCTTGAATAAAACCCAGCGAGGGCTCGACCAATCTTCAAGCTAAACCCAGCTCTCATAGAATCGCATTGGGGCTCGATCCAGCTTCAATAGAAGCCGAGTAGGCATCGACCCATCGTGATCCGCATCTCTCTAGGGCTCGATAATCGTCGTCGGCGTCGTCGTAGGCGTAGTCGTCGTCGTCGTCGTCGTCGTCGTCGTCGTCGTCGTCGTCGTCGTCGTCGTCGTCGTCGTCGTCGTCGTCGTCGTCGTCGTCGTCGTCGTCGTCGTCGTCGTCGGCGTAGTCGTCGTCGTCTTCGTCGTCTTCGTCGACGTCGCCATCGTCGTCGTCGTCGGCGGCGTCGGCGTCGGCG